GTCCACGGCTAGTCACTTGGATTGAGGTTAAAGACTGCCTTCTGTAGATTGTCGGGCCGGTAACTCCTGTTCAAGATCGGGAACCACACAGCCCAGCTCTGAGCCCCCATTTTTATTAATGTCTTATATCTAGTCCTGAGCTGTCATGTGTGGTTATAGGTGTTTCTTTTGCTCGTGATTTTTACTATTCGTTTTTATGACTTTCATGCTGGGTTCTATTTTTTACCTTATTTATTTTTCTTGCAAGTATGTTTGAATATGTTGCAAATCATACTATGCTCGCAACATTAATAACACAACAGTAGCAGATGCCCATATACGCTTTTATAGTTTATCTACAGCATTTTACTTTATTGCATTTTATATTTCAAGTACATTTTATTTACCTGCAGTTTGCTTATTCTCCATGCAAAACCAAAACTGAAACAAAACAAAACAAAAACATTAACACCAAAACTGTGAAGCGTAAACTACTAATCTCAAGCACTCAAACCCTGGAGCCGTCGCGACGACAGAAGTTTGGAACCAACTTTGTGGGCAACACGGCGAGGAATTCAAACTGAGCAGCGAGAGGATCTTCTTCGGCATTATCCCTTCCTAGCATAATAACAATCCATAGGACTTCGAGGTAACTCGCCTAGCGCGACGTAAATCCTCACATTCCCTCTTTAGACACCTGTGCAACAATATTGTGCAGTGTAAGTCCTAATTCGCTTTAGGTTCTGAGGTTATTGTTCGTTACAACGTAAACCCTCTTATCTCTGCGGGCTATTTGCATAATCGGATATTATGCAAATGTAAGTCCCAAATAATAAAATTGTCAGGATTAAACATTTAAATAACATATTCTCTAAAATGCAGCCACACAGTAGGATAGTCAGGGATGTCACTGAGGTTTCTCCTCAGGATCTATGACATCCTCTACCTGTTCCTTCCTTTGAACTCCTGAAAGAACTGTTCCTACTTGAGCCACTCTCACTTGTTTTTCCACGTCCTACCGTGTAAACCTAAACCTTGGAATTTTGTAGACTAGAACCACTGATCATTATCGAGAGTTTTCTTAAGTGACCCCAGTCATTTGAGATGTAATTAACTATAGGGGCTTGCCCCTATAGGGAACTTGAAGCCCAGGTAAAATAAACCCTATTTAATCTTTGTATTAGATAGGGGAACTTGTCGGCCATACATAAAATGTTCGCAGACCAAACAGATGTCACAAATCTCTTAGTTTGCAGGATTGGGTCTATCGCCGAGATCTACACTTATCTTTCGGGGGGGTGTAGTATTCGCGGTATCGGGCACGATTATGCAAACTATCAGACTAATGAGATTCATTTGGTCACATTTTTCAAAAAAATTAAAACATACTACTTCAAAAACCTAAACTATATACCTCTTATACTTAAATTAAATTTCAAAAATTATTTTCATATATTATATTTTCAAATCTATCAAAAAGTTGACCGACAGTGTCAAGTTTAGTTTTGTCTTGCTTAATGATTGTCTAGAACTGAAGATTTATTTCATGCGTTGATTCATGGTTCAATTGAATTAAACCTGACCAAACTGAATATGTTTTTTATGAGAGATTGAAACTGCCATTCCTGCAAACACAATGGTGCTATTGCAACCCAATAATCACATCTTTTGTTTCGATCATTACTTCTCTAAACTTTACTATCCCTTCAAATTGTAGATTTTGCATTAGGACATCGACTTTATGCATTGCTCTCTCCATCAACAATGATGAGTTCTAATTTAGCTTATTACGAGACTCACGAAAATAACCTCCTCATGCTCTTCTCTTCCTCTTGAGGAAATCACATTTATAAATTGCGGGATAACTAGAATACAGCCACCTCAACCATTGCATGCTGAATTTGTTTTTTTAGAGTCTCACGCTTGAAGCTTATTGTGGAACCTTTTCTCAGTATCATTTTACTCTGACGCCTTGTAGCAATGAACTTTTAGTCATTTTTCATCAAAGTTTAAGCTGTTTACTTCTGCCACGAATTCGTTAGACTCTTTTTGAGATAATTTTCTCGTGGATCAACGTCTCTAGAAACAAGTTTGGCGACTTTTCATATTGAATAATTGATGAATTAAATGATTTAACAGATAGTTTCTTTGCTTATAGATTCTAGTAAAAACAATATGATGAAGGTTTATCAAGTGTTCAATTATTACTTTATTTAATCCTAGATGATTAAAATGTCAGAATGAGAGGGTGAGGTATTTCTTTCAGTTTTATTTAGGGCTCATATAGTTGGTAGTTATGGATAATTTTTCCAGCAAGGTGATATCAAGGTTTTTTATGTCTTCTCTCCTTATTTTATAAAGATCAATTATTACACGTGTTATTTTATTTCTTACTTGATTACTAGATCTAACCAAAATATTTCAGAGTACTGTAATCAAAATAAGAAGTAAACTCGTCCTCATTTTGTTTAACGTTTCAACGGTAGGTCGATATTGCCATACGTGACAATGCTCAGAGACTTTTTGCTGTGAAATTAAATTCTGTTGGCAAAGGTAACTCATTTTTACTAGCTTTCCATTGTGTTGAATTCTCTTTTGGATGATGAATCACATAATTCAAGTCTTCAGAAAACCTAATTAAACCTGATTTCGCATAGGAATTTTTTTTATGTCCCATAGTTCCTTCATGTTAAAGTGCTTTTCTTGTCGCTGGCTATCTTTAATCCTGTGTTGCAACTTATTATTTGATTCTTGGGTTTGCCAACTTCTTCTCTTAAGTTTAAATGGTTAAATCATATCCATTTTTTCTTCTTATGAAGGACATAAGATATCTTGACTTTATTTGCTAAAAGAATGTTTTATTTTGTAGGATATGTACAATTTTATGTGAATTTGAGACATTTGACATGAAATTGTAGTAAATATTAATGATAACATGCGCAATACCGCAAGAAATCCAAACAGCAGAAGAAAAACCTCTTAGGCAGGGAATGCAGTTATTACTGAAGTAGACAAATAGTGCACAAATGCTACTTTCTTAGTAGCTTTAAAAGGTCTTACTTGTTGAAAATTTGATGGGATTTGTTCCCTCAATTCCTAAAATTAAGGATCATTTACCATAGGCTTTTTTCAACCGGTATGGGTAATTGCTTTCATCTTTTAATTTCTCAAGTTTCTTCAAAGCCAACTTTGAATTTGCCAAAACATATCAATCAGATTTTTTGTTATTCATAAAGGTTCAGCCAACTTCCTGATGCTATGTAACCACGTTTCAACTTGAATTGAATACCATTCATGCAAACCAGAGAAACTTCTTGATTTGGAATCTCTTTTAGTGTTCCGGTGAGGTAGTGATTGTGATGGCCTCGACAATACTCGACAAAATATTAGACTCATGGGTAGTGAGGATCATTACCGAATGAGATAATGGACCTTGGTTAATAGCAAACATCATCAATGGAGAAACTAGGTTGTTATAAATTGGCGATAGGGTATAAATGTTGGCTGTACTGGCTAATTAGTTGAAAGGGAAGAGTAATGTGAAATGCATTATCAAATAAAAAAAACTAATGCTGCAAGTAGACAAAAGATAACTATGCACCATCTAGACGCGCGCACACGTTCACACGCACTTAAACTTCTATATATATATGGAGAGAGAGAGAGATGTGTATTTTTTTTTTAAATAGAAAGAAAGATACATATACAAAGTGTGGGAGGGCCCAAGCATGACACCTTGCCCACACAAAAACCAGAAATGATTACAAAACTAGAAAAAACAGAAAAATACATTAGATGTTTAAAAAAAGAGCCTAAAGTGCCGAGATACATAGTATCAGGGGGCTAGAGAGCATCCCAATTTGGTATTACCTCTACCTCTATTTCTAGGGAATGAGCAAGCAAATAAGCTAGTAAGATGATTGCCATTGCCAGTAGTAACTAATGTATAATCCAATATGTTCTCGAGTTGGAGTCGACATCTATTATTCTTCTTCCTTCTGGAATAGATCTGTCATTCCTCTTCCGAAGAATCAGTCTGATGGGGTGGTAGAGCTGAAACAGGAATACCAACCGTAGTACCCAAAATATGTTTTAGTATATGTGAAGTATGAGTTGCCTCTACAGCGGATACTTCCTGAAGAAGTGGAGCTACGAGGCTCTCCTGATTATCAGTATGAAAACTATCATTTGTAGGTAATAGTCCATCAGTATTGTTTCCTATGGGGTTTGAAGGTGCCAACATCACATCACTCGCAGTAACAGTAACAACGGTGTCATGGGGGGTCCTCAGGGGCAATAAACACCTCATGTCTGGTAGTATCCTCCCCAAGTCTCCTTAGATGAAACTAAAATGTCCAAAGCAGTGAGTTTAGACCCATCCTTATTCACTTGAACCTTAGATTTCAAATTTGGATGAAACTTGTGGCATTTATCAAGGACATGACCGAACATCTTACAATAAGTACAATATGAAGGTCTATGCTCCATGAATATTTGTTGCCAATAATCATTATGGGTTGTGCCCAGCCAGACTTCAGTAACATCAGGTAAAGTAATATCCCTTTCCATAAGTATTCTGACCATCGAGGGTTTGGTTAGGTTGAAAGTAGGCAGATCTAGTTTCAAAGGATCCTCAAGGATGACCCCAATAGAGTAGAGAACCTGATGGTGAAAAAAATGCAGCTTGAGACCAGGTAAACTAGACCATACATGTACAATGGGAGTTTCATGATTTGGGTCGAAATTAGGAGACCACTTGAGTAACTTCATTGATTTGCCTGCGATATTAAGATATTTCTTGGAGAAAATTCTGGTGTAGTCTTCAACCGCTGTTAGTTGGATCAATATATGTCTTCCATCCATTAGTCTCACTTTCCACTTGTCTACTAGCTTAAGATCATCAACACTCTT